GTCCCTATCCATAAAAAGGGGAAGGAAAAAAAAAAAAATTTGCAAGTGATATTGTAAAGGAGGAAGCTGCAAAGGGGGTGAGGGTAACACACGTTCGATTTGCTTCCCCCCAGTTTTTTTTTTTTTTTTTTTATTTTGGGCAGCTAGCCATTATTGTTATCCTCTCCGCATTTCACGTGAGAGTATAGTATTCCCCTCCTCGGCTGCGCCAACCCCGAATGGGTGGGAAAAAGGGAGCATGCCGGTGTCACACCCTGCCCATTTTCTTTTCCCCCATTTTGGTGAGCGCAAAAATTAAGCGAAGGGAAACCACTTGGCTCATTTTGCACAGCCGTCCATAAGTGACACACTCGACCCTTTCGCTTACCCTCCCCTGCCCCCCCCTCAAAAAAAAAAAAAAAAAAAAACGCCTGAAAAGGGGAAGTGGTCAATTGGCCGTTACACGAGTTGGTACTTTTGTGAAGAGCTTAACGGCCAAGCAGTCAGCGTTGGAATTTTTCCCTTCGCGTTTGGCTTCACATTTTGACCGCGCAATTTGGGCCCATATTGACCCCCACGTGGCACGACGAACCATGCGCTAAAAGAAACGCGATGCTGTACAAGACGAGCGGCATGTGACGTGTGTAACGCGGACCCTGGATGATTATTTTAAAAAAAAAAAAAAAAAAATGGGTGCAGCCATGTTTGGGAACCCCGGTTGTTGCGGCTCCCTTTTCCGTATCATCCTTCATCTAGTGATTTGTTTGTTAACCCTATATACGTTGAATGCAGAATGTAAAAGCGAGCCAGTGAAGGGAGAGGGGAAGGACCTCCTGTATAAGTACAAGCTATATGGGGACATTGATGAGTATGCTTATTATTTTCTAGACATAGGTATTGGAACCCCGGAGCAGAAAATTTCATTAATATTAGACACAGGATCATCCTCCTTGAGCTTCCCTTGTGCAGGGTGCAAGAAGTGTGGGGTTCATATGGAAAACCCTTTTAACCTGAATAACTCAAAAACGTCTTCGATTCTATATTGTGAGAATGAGGAATGTCCTTTTAATTTGCGTTGTGTGAATGGGAAATGTGAATATCTTCAGTCGTATTGTGAAGGTTCCCAAATCAGTGGGTTCTACTTTTCAGATGTAGTTAGCGTGGTGTCATACAACAATGAAAAGGTCACGTTCAGGCAATTTATGGGTTGCCATATGCATGAGGAGAGTCTGTTCCTGTATCAGCAGGCGACTGGTGTGTTGGGGATGAGTCTCTCTAAGCCACAGGGCATCCCAACGTTCGTCAATTTGTTATTTAAAAACGCCCCGGAACTGAAGGAGGTGTTCACCATTTGCATCGCCGAACATGGGGGCGAGCTGATCGCAGGGGGGTATGACCCAGCCTACATCGTGCGCAAGGGGGGGGATCCGAAGCAACTGGATGGGTCATCTGCTGATGAGGAAGAGTTACAAATGGCACTACGAGATGCAGAAAAAACCGTGTGGGAAAATGTAACCAGGAAGTATTACTACTACATACGGGTGAGAGGCATGGACATGTTCGGAACGAACATGATGAGTTCAAGCAAAGGGCTCGAGATGCTTGTGGATTCAGGTAGTACATTCACGCACGTTCCAGAAGACCTGTATAACAAATTAAATTACTTCCTAGACATCCTGTGCATTCAAGATTTGAATAATGCCTATGATGTGAATAAAAGGTTAAAGATGACCAACGAGTCCTTTAAACATCCGTTGGTCCAATTCGAGGACTTTAAAAATTCTTTAAAAAGTATTATTGAAAAGGAGAACGTGTGTATTAAAATTGTAGAAGGAGTGCAGTGTTGGAAATACCTCGAAGGGTTACCAGATCTGTTTGTAACTCTGTCGAACAATTACAAAATGAAGTGGCAACCACATTCGTACCTCTACAAGAAGGAAAGCTTTTGGTGTAAGGGTATCGAGAAACAAATAAATAATAAGCCCATATTAGGGTTAACTTTTTTTAAAAACAGACAAGTCATATTTGATATTCAAAAGAATAGGATCGGGTTTGTGGACGCGAATTGTCCTTCTCATCCGACCCATACGAGACCTAGAACCCATAATGAGTACAAAAGGAAGGACAATGTGTTTTTAAGAATTGCTTTTTTTTCCTTGTACAGCCTGTTTGTCGTCTTTGCCCTTTGCATTTTTCTCTCCTTGCTGTTTTACGTCAAGCGGCTGTACTACATGGAGTACAACCCGCTGCACTCCGAGGGGAAGGCCCCGGCCGACGCGTAGCGGCACGAAGTGGCGTGAAGCGGTGTAAAGCGGCGCGGCTGCCCACATTTGCCTGTCTCCGCACGAGCCATCGTCCACCTTACGTCTGCATGCGTGCACGTGCACCCCACGGTGCGTTTCCACCTCCTCTACTTCTATGCTTCTTTCGCTTTTTCATTTTTTTAAGTTTTCCATTTTTTTTTTAGTTTAACTGCTCGAATTAGTTCTCTGCTCATTTTCACAGCCAACTGCGTTGCTTGCTTCGTCTTAAATTTTTGCCAATATGTTAAAAAGGCGATCCGGTGGGGGGGTAAAGTGTCCTTCCCATGCCTCTTACGTGGGCCATGAGAGAAAGCGTCGCCATTGGGCAGTGCCACTGTGCCCCTCCCTTTGTGCCAAAATGGGGAAGAAACAACTCGTAACGTGTAGTAGGTGCTTGTGGCAACGTGGGCTCGTTCTTTTCTCCAATGGCTGCTGGAAGCGGTGATGGAAGGTCGGAAGTGGGAATGCCCTACTTCCCTCCACCGTGTAGCGAACGTCACCACATCAGGTACACCTTTCCATCGGTGCGCCCGGGAAGCGGGGCGAGTCTCCCATTACCCGTAACGACAAAGTGCCCTCTTGGGGGAGAATAAAACAAAACAGGAGGAAAAACAATACGAGGGAGCACTACGAACGCGATGCAAGTTAACGCAGCACGAGAAAAACGCAAAATGAACAACGTTGACTCAATTTCACCCCATTTAACGTGCACTCAAATAAAATAAACGTAACCGACTGTGCCCCTTAACGGTTATGCTCCCCCACACATGGATACATCCGCGATGAGCTGGCAAAAAAAAAAAAAAAAAAGGGACCCAAGGAGTGATACAATGCTGCCCCACTTTTGTTCGAATTTTTTTTTTTTTTGTTCCCCCCCGCTTTCTACAGAAAAGATAAGCGGCCACTTCCCTTCCCCTTTGTCAGTTTTTTTCAAACCGTTGTCCGCGTGCACATTTCACACGCATAGTTATAAATGAAAAGGAGGGAACACAAAAAAAACAAAGAAGCAGCTGGGCTAGGTACGACATGAAAGGTGTGTCGCTGGCATTCCGCTTGTGCATCTTCTGGCTGTTGGTACTGAAGCTTCTGCTACACCTCGTGGGAACCCACGCAAAGAGAAACACTCTCCCAAGCGAGAGGTACAAAAGCATCTTAACAAATGAATCTTATATATGTCGTGGGAATAGGAGAGGGGGAGGAATTCCTTTGAATGGTCATGGAGAAGGGCGGAGGAAAAACTGGGGAAGCAAAGCCCACCCATATGGTTACCTCTTCAGTAGGGCCATTTCCAAAGCGTATAGGAATGGAGGCCGCGCGGCAGGAGGAGATGAGGACGGGGAGCAAGGGAGAAGGATGAAGAAGAAGAACAACACACTATACGCAGAAAATTACAAAATAAGTTTGACCGACAAACCCATCATCGAAGAGGTACCTAGAAATGTGAAGGGAAGAATAAATGAATGGATACCCGAATTTGATGAAGATAATAAATTAGGTTTTTTTCCAATCCTGTTGGAGGAAATGTCTAATGAACCATCTCCACTTCAAGTAGGGTTCGAAGATTATATGCAATTCAATGGTGAAAATGTAGAAAGCATTTTTAAAAATATGACTAGGGAAGTAACCCTAAATGGAAATAAAACCAAAATTTTTGGTATGTGTTTTTTTAATCACAAAACAGGAGTTCTGGCTCCATTAGCAGTGTATGCAGAAATAAAGGATGTTACAAAAGTAGGAAATAATTTAGCTGTTAAGGGGATAGTACGGGGTCGAATTATAATTGACGATATTATTGCTCAGGATCCATGCATATTAGGCAAGATATCCCCAATTGAGGATAAGAAGGGCTTATCTGATGGAGAGGAGAGCTTAAAAATGGTGGACGAAATTATTAGGATTCATTCTCAGTGCACAAGTATGGAGTCTCAACTGATGGAGCAACTTGATCAGTCATATGCTTCTATGAATATTAAGTTAAGAAATGATTTAAAAGATTCCATAGATGCAAAATTGGAGAAATTTCAAATAGATCCTTCTGATCCTGAACAAAGACAAGCTTTCGTCCAAATTGCTTCTTTTGCTGCTTTTGATTTTCACCTTATGATTGTTGATAGGTATGATGCCTTGATGTTGCAGAACTCGGAAGACAGACTCAGATTCGTCCGAGATAAGATTAGACAGAAGCAGAAGCAGCTAGCTATTATTAAAAACACTCCCAAGGAGAAGCTCCAGGAGATCCTCGAGCAAGTGCAGACTCTTAAAAATCAAGGAGCCCCAGGCGCGAATTATAATGCCCCCCCTGGAGAGGCAGCTACGAGGGGCGGCTTATGAGGGGTACTCTTCCCACCACAGAAAAAAAGGTGAATCATTCGTGGGTGAAGTATACTGTCGCTGTTTGACCCAGTTGAGATGATTATGGGCAACAGGAAGTGCATGTCCGGTGTCAGAGTCAACCCCAGCACAGCAATCTACAATACGGCATATGTGTATATTTTTTTATGCTTATTCGTATGCATATCTGTCCGTCTTGGAACACGTGCGACCTGTGTGATCACACCATTTAATTCTATGCCCGTCCGGGCTATCCTTTATTTCCATTTTTTGTTATCCCCATTTTGGCTTTTTTTTTTTTTTTTTTTTTTTT